AACTGTTCTGCCTTTCCCTATTTACATAATAATTACTACTAATGACTAAAAAATTAGTAATTAGTCGTGATTATTTTCGCCCAAATCTGGCAAAAATAAATCCGTTTGAAAGCCAGGCAGCTTGGAACCTCAGCTTCAACTTGCTATTGAGCACTCAGTACCCGACAACGATTCGCAGTTCCTATCGGAAGTTGGTAGTAAATTTTGCTAACTATCGATTTTACCTTACGACCCTCGATATGCTCCCTTTTGGTACAGGTAGTCTGGATTTACTACTGAGTTGTTCCTAAACTCTCGATCGCGAGTGCACAGACCTACGTGGAAGAAACTATCAGTGAGTATTACAGTATTATTACTATCTTTACTAGATATATTACAGTATATTTACTAGAGAGCTGGTTGGCCAACATTATATGTATCTAGACGATAATGCACCGGAAGAACAGTATTTTACACACTACTCAATTTAGAGATGATTTATCTTCCCCTACCTCCGGATTTACTAGATTTAACTCAATTGATCTCATCTGGCCTTTCCGGTTATTCTTAGAACGTGCATTTCCGTTGAAAAATCGTATTTTAAAATGTCAAAGATCTTGATACTTACCGTTATTACTATATATTGCATATATGAGTAAGTGAAAGTAAAAATAATGTATAACTAAGAAAACTAGAGAAATTGGTTTTTTTTATACTTTACGGAATATGAATACATTAAGGAATATCTATACATTCGATAATTTTCGTTTAATAGTTCAGTTTAAAAAATCCCGGTTAAGATATGATAATTTCTTTTTTTTTTATTTCTTTATGACATTTACAACTGTATTACATAAATACATCAAGTAAATTTGGACATAATTGATATAATGACATGAATACACTTGCTGAGTAACTACCCAATGGTAGCACTCTAATGATATGATTACATTAGGAGATCACGGGGCCATCTTCTTTTCAGACGCCTCGGAGGGTTATCAGGAATTGAAGAGGAAGCAAGGTTAGAAACGAGAGGGTTGGGATGATTCTGAAGTTTATTGTGGAAGGATAGGTATCTGGATTGGGCCAGATCTGAAACATAAGGAACATTAAGATCTTTATGGATAATTTTATTAGTGACAAAGTAAGGAGCATTGAGGATTTTACGAAGGATTTTGGATTGTAAGGATTGGATGCGAGAGGAATTCGATGGTTTAGTGGAGCCCCATAGCTCAACTCCGTAAGTCCAAATAGGTCTTATTATAGTCAAGTATATGAGTCTTTTGTAATTAATGGGAAGTTTAGAGCGTTTGTCTAGTAAGTGCTGAAGTAATCGGAAACGTCGAGCGGTTTCTTGTCGTTTCAGTCTAGTATGAGGATTGCAAGTTAGTCGTTTGTCCAGGTGGAGTCCTAGGTATCGGATTTGCTCAACAGGGATAAGTGGAGTATTGTTAAAGGAAACAGTAGGACAGGAAGTCGTTGGTTTACGACGTGATAATTTCTAAAACTGTTTTTTTATTTGTTTTGTTTTTGACCCCTTCGGTGGACTTATTGTTTTGTATTTTTTTTAATCACCGTAGAATGATTAGGAGGTCTCCTCCAACGTCCGCTAATGTAATTGTTTCTTTTTATTTCTGCTATATGTTGGGCAAGATCTAAAGATAGTTATTTTATTTCCGTAGTACGTATGGGGCCCCACCGAAGGATCCTAAAAATCTTTGTTTTGTTTTTAGTATTTTTTTGAACTATGCAAAATTAGGCCCCAAAAATAAATGTTTTTTTAATGGTTTGGAGTTGGTTGGTCGAGTGTGCGGTCAAATACAATACTATATATTAAAATAGTATTTTATTACAATACAAGGTTTTGGTTCTTAGCCATGGCTACAAAAGATACCAAATTATAAATATAAATAGGTATCTAGTAAAAGATAAAATAAATGAATTAACAGTAGAATTTAATAAGTACAAATGGTCTGATAAAGAAATTACAGAACTTATGAGACAACATCAGTGATGTAGTGAGTGTTAGTATAGTAAGAATATATATATTTTTTTTTCTGTTGGCATTACAGACCATATAGATAGATCATTTGCTGCCTTAACAAGCCTGTTCCATCTCTGGCTGTCTTGGGCTATTTCTTTCCATATTATTAGTAATATATATCTATGTATATAAATGGACAATACAAACAAAAAGTGAATTAAGCATGTAAGTTAAAATTTAAAACAAACTGTGATAAAATAAGAATAAGAAATCACTTTATAACAAAATAGTAAAGGTTACACTTGATAACTGCAAGTTAATCAATAAAGAAATTAAAGGACTGATAAGATAAAATATGTGTATAGTGAGTTACATTATCGTTAAAATAAATTTATTTTGTACATGCTTATTATATATTGCCTTAGTACGAATTTTTCAACCCTTAAAATAAAAGTTGTAACCCTTCCTCAGTGCACGACTTCCGTCCCATTTCTCTCCTATCCAACCCCTCAAAACCATTGGAGTGCCTCGTCCAAAATCCACTCTCCAACTTCCTAGAGGAACTTGGAGGGAGGAACCCTCATCAACCCATTCCAATCTATCTTTTGACTTTTCTACTCAAAGCAACCCGCTCTCCTTAAAATAACCCATGACCTCCAAACCTCCATTGAACATCAACACCTTACTATCCACATCATTCTAGATTTTTCAAAGCGTTTGACACAGTTGACCATAACATCCTCCTTACTAAATTGCAAACCTTCCTCTAATCAATAATGCCCTGTGTTGCTTCAAATCCTTCCTTTAAAATCGCTCCCAGTATGTAACCATCCAAGGTCAACCTCCATCTAAGATCCTCCCCTCTCCGGTGCCCCTCAAGGTTCCTCTCTACCCTCTACTCTGTTTAAAATTAACATTAATGACCTTCACTTCCTGATCCATCACTCCCAACACCACATGCAAAATATTTCCAAATATACTCACTTCCCGCCTTCTTATCTATTACCAGCCACAAAAAAAACTTCAAGAACAAAATTTGTAACTGGCCGAAAGCTGACAAGTTGAACTTGAATGCGGAGAAGACAAAGGCAATCTTAATAGGCTCTAATCACCTCCTTAAAACTGCACCTACTATCCCACCATCAAAAACCTTCGAATTACCTTTGATCAAACGCTTTCCTGGGGCAAAATGTATTCAATGTCTCCCGCCGTACCTTTTCCACCTTAAAACGTCTATATTACTTCCCTCGTCTATTTTCATTTAAAATCCGTAGACTCCTAGTCACCCCTAAGGGACGTCTATGAAGATCTCGAGGCGAAACTAAAATGTTTGGTAAATTGTTTTGAACGATTCGTCTACGAGATCCCAAGAGAAACCTCTGTTTCCTGTTTTTATGAAGAGTTGAAGTTGCTTTATTCTTCCTAGCGTCAAATTCCCTAGCATCCAATCCCACCATCCTTCATACATCTCCAAGCTCCTTGAATTCAAATCCTCTGTTCATTCCCGCAATACCCGTTCCCGGTCTTCAGATTTAATATAAGTGCCCATCGAACCTATATATTCTCGATTTGATCACTGAATCTTTGTAGAGTTATAGTTATCTGTGGATATAACTCTTGCCAATACTGTTGAATTCTGTCGAGGTATCCATTCTTATCTGTTTCTAATTTTTTTGTCAAACTGCGGATTACACATTGTCATGTACTCGTAAACCAAGAACCTTTTCTTGAATCCTTAGAAGATATAAGAACAAAATGAGGTCTTGAGATGGTTCTCATCCTGTAAGGATTCTCGTATGGATGGAATTAGAGATAGCAGGCACCGTAATAAGGATCATAGTACTCGAAAAAAAGAAATAAATATGCCCAGCTGACCTCTGAATTCGTGTGTTCACATTTTGTTCACCTTCAGTTGATCGCCTTGTAACTAGTTGCGGGTATTGTAATTAAGACTTGTTATAGAGTTATGTGCTTATAGGCAGACACAACACAAATTTAGACGGATAAATAATAGCGATTTCAGAATCTGCAAAGAAACTGCAAATCTCGTCCCGAGAAAATTGCATATAAAGGTTTTTCGTCGAAATAAATATTTATTGATAAGTATTTGATTGGCAATAGAAAAAAATCGCAGCGAATGGCAGTAACTCTCACAGAAGTAAACACAGAGAGCCTACGAGTGAATTCTTTCACACTACGGTTTATGTTCAAATAAATATGAAAAAAAGTAGCGAATTAGGATGCTCCTTACCACAACTCCATATTCCCTTAAATTGTAATGCTAGAGGCAATTCGAAAATAATACAAGGCTAATACAAAGACCTCGGCAGACGATAATGGTTGTATTCAAATCTGTTGGGACAAAGTCTTCCTTCGATTCGACATGAAACGATATTTGTTGGAAATTTGCGGCATCTTTCAAACTATGATAACCTGCGACCCCATATATCTAAAATCGGAACAGTTGATTCCAAAATGACTGCTGGGTAACTAAGACAAGCCAAAACCATTCAAAAGCCTTCAGACATGTCCTTAAGAAGTAGAAGAACAGCCTAGAACTAAAACTTTCATATCCCTGTACCGCACCTTTAGAATAGACAGCCACAACCAAGATAATTCCACCGGAGATGTAAAATAAAAATATTTTTCTCCACCATTTCTGTATTTCTAATAATTAGATAACTCACCAAACCGCGTCTCATGCGCCTCCAAAACGGTAACTATATAAAACGTATAAGCCAAAACAACCACAGGAAAAGGGAATAAAATAAAATAAAATATTTTGAAGTTTTATTTATCAAGTGTTAAAATATAAAAACATATTAGTTTTCAGAGATTTAAATGTCCTCTCTTGATAAGAGGGCCACCGATAGAGCTAGAACGAGACTACCCTAAGTATATAAAATTTGAAATTAATTTGTGCTAAGGGGTGGGTGCGAGCTATAGGCAGTCACTAGCGCTATCGACAGTTGTAAACTATCGATATATCGGTAGCACTACCGACTATCGCCCTTCCCTTTATAAAGCGTTATGATCACACAGATATTCAGTAACAATGGCTGTACTCGTGTTGTTGGTTGCCATCGTCGGCTGTGTTTTGGCCAAACCTTCCAGCGAAAATGTGAAGCCAGTGAGTAATAATATTATAATATTTAGTTATATTAATTTAATATGTGTTTTAAGCGCGTGTTTAAATGTAGCTGCTGTTTTGTGATTCGTCAAAAAATATTAATTATTTGGATTTAACTATTTTTTCGTAAATAATAATGGGCTGTTTTTAAAACAATGCCGAATAGACAGATACATTTGTCAGAGGTAGATTGGGAAATCGATTGTCCATTGTGGATACTTTCAGAATTAAATTTAATAAATTCTTAAAATTAATGAAACTTCCATAACCCAATCTTATTTAAAGGAATAAATAATAAGTGTAATATTTAGTTCACCTTCCATTTGTTTATCACTCGGGTAATTTAAAAGAAAGTTTTTTTAAAATCGTTTTAATTTTTAACTTTTTAATTAATTTTTAACTTTTTTTAACTTTTTAATTAATAACATTTTATTTTTTTCTATTTAATAAATATCGTGAATGATGACCGGAAGAAATGGACAAAGAAGTTGTTACTATTGCAATGGCACAACTGATCGTTCAATTGTGAGTCATTTGCATTGCATTGTATTGTCCATCGCAGAGTCTAATCTAACGGAACATAAGTCTTACAATGAAGTTCCAGATTATAATGAGTAACGTGTACCATTAGGTAAGATGTTAATTAACAAAAAAACACATAAATAGTTCGAAGCTGATACCAATTCAGCTCTAAAAGAATATAGGCTATTTTAGACACTACTCTACTTCAATCAGTGTTCACCTAAACAAAAAACTGTTCTCTGTTTTAGTTTGTAACTTTAAAAGGAATAAATAATGAGTTCAATATTTAGTTCACCTTCGATTTGTTTATCACTCGGATAATATAAAAGAAAGTTTTTTTAAAATCCAAAACGTTTTAATTTTTTTTATTTAACAAATATCGTGAATGATGGTCGGAAGAAATGGACAAAGAAGTTGTTGCTACTACAATGACACGACTGGTCGTTCAATTGTGAGTCATTTGCATTGCATTGTATCGTTCATCGCAGAGTGTGGCCGATTGCGAATCTAACGGAACATAAGTCTTAAAATGAAGTTCGAGATCATGATGAGAAAGATGTACCATTAGGTAAGATGTTAATTAAGAAAAAACACATAAATAGTTCGAGGGTGATATCGATTCAGCACTAAGAAAAAAAAACTATTCTTCCACATTTTGAAGATAAGTTAATTCGTTTTGTCTCTTAATATAGGGATGTTGTGATTATTTTTTTTCTACTTAACGATGTAGTGCATTTTAGGATATTTTAGACATTTGAGTTACTCTACTTCAATCAGTGTTCACTTAAACAAAAAACTGTTCTATGTTTTAGTATGTAACTTCTACGTACACCAGAGTACAATCTAAATTTCGATTGTTTCGGTGCAATAAGGAAATATTACATAAGCAATTGAATGAAACTTAATCGCCCATCTTGACCCGTTAAAAGAAGCGATAATAATTGTGTTTCAGGTGGAAAACTCTTCTTTTCGGAAAAAGAATTAACCGAGGTATTGACATAAGAAAACTATGTTTTTAACAACTAGTCTAAGCAAAAAACATTCACTTGATGAAGTATGAAAATTAAAAAAATATTTTAGGACAATTAATCCATGTAGTGAGAGAAATTCGGACACTCCATGGCATTGCTTTTTTGATGACTGATCAGATGTAGATTTTTAGCAATAAAGGACTGACCATAGTGTAAGCCTAAACTCATTTTAGTTGGTAATATTGATATAAATTATTAGTGTTAGCCATCTACCCTTTTCTTTAATGCATGGCGGATATAGAACTTCAAACCTTAGTGAATTTGATTGTAAAATGTTTATTCATACGCTCCGATGTAATGAAAAATTTTACCTTGTTATTTATTAGAAAAAAATATATTGATCTGAAAAAAAAACTTGTATTCGTTTCTACAGGTCATTATAAGAAAAAAGTAGAGCTTTAAGTGAGTGTTTCCATATGTTTAATAAAATTTCTGTAAATCATAAAAATGGATAACACATTAGTACAATTGATGAGTCTGTACATCAGCATTCTTATTAGAAAGGAAGTAAACAAGAGGTTAAATCATGGTTGCTTGCGACAGATGTTGCCAACTTAAAAAATAATTAAACTCAACAGGCACAAGAAGAAAGAAACTAACTACTTATATGAAATAGTGTTTGATTCATTCTTTAAGTTTTATTAAATATGTGATTAAACGAACAATAACACTTTTAGCGATAGGTGTTTTCATAAGAAATGATGATGTATAGCAGCTGTAAATGCATTATAATTTAAAAAAGGAACATATTTTTATTGTTTAAGTATTCAGCTTAAATCACACACAGTAATAAATGTGGAGCAATGAAAAAAAAATTTCCATTTTGAAGGGACATTCAGGGCCCGAAAGCACTCCGTCGTAGATCCGCCAGTGCCTAGACCTAATTTATTCATACTACTATAAAAACACGTGAAATTTAAATAACATGGTGGCGTTGAGAATGACAGTAATAGAGAAATATCAACTCTAAAAATTCTTCACATGGCAGGCAGATAATTGTGCTGGATGAAAATTGCTCAAGGAATGACCTAGAATATAATAATACAATAAAAAACATATAACAGTCTAGTGTTGAAATTGAAGGATTAAGACTCAAACATTAACAAATATTTCATAGATGGCTATTATGTATTTCACAACTAAAGAAACAACATAATTAATACTAAAAAATGTTCTCATTCTTTATTTAATTTTTAGGTTGAAGTTACATTTTACTACTCAGTATTCTTCCACCATGCCATTACAAAGGGATTGCTTCCAGCTTATACTGACACCAAATTTAATTATTCTTCTCTGATTTCAAAACTCACATTGGTTCCTTTTAGTTGGGCATATAATGTAAGTATCCATCACAATAAATTATTCATCCACAATAACGAATTATAACTTTGTAGAAACTAGTAAACAGAGTTACTGTATAATATGAATGATAGATTTTATTAAATTATTAGCTATTTCACTCATGTTATTTTTGGATTATAGATATCTGTTATTATGAGCACATGGCCATGAGATTAATTAAATCCAACTATAACATAAATCACTGAAAACAAGTTGTTTTGTTTTTTTCTCCAAAAGATTCAAATAAACTTCATAAGCATATTGGAGTTACTAAAAGACTATTACTTCAATCAGGAGCTGAAAGGAGTGCTTCATGAAAACAGGTGGATTTAGCTCGTCGGATTATGGTTTGTATCAGGTTACAAAGAATCCTAAACGCTTGGTAGTCGTCAGCAAGCCTGGTACGTTTAAAGCGTCTGCAGGCAACCTCAAGTCTCTTCTGAAGATCCTTGATTTGCTGACACATCCAGGGAACTGGACGTCTATGAAAGGTAGAGGTTTTGAAGGGAGCATGGGTATCAAGGATATTAAGAAAATTGGAGTTGATGTCAACCATTGAATCAATAGAGGAACCGGAATATATTCCATCCCAATCCAGGGATTCTAGGCTGGGTAGGATTTTTTTTCCCAAGTAAGGGCATCAAGGTTATGTAAAGTTATGGTTCTAGGTAGGATCAGAGGAGTTTGGGTATTATGTGAAATTTGGATTAGGTCAAGAGAGGATACAAAGGAGACTGGTGATTGGGAAGAGGAAAGGGGGTTCTGAGCGGAGTCAATAATGTACATGTCCAGCCAAGTGTTAGATCTTGAGGTATGGTGAGTGGGAGGAAAAGAAATGATGAAAAGATGATGTTGACGCCAACATGAATATTTTTATTGTTTATTTTCACCATACCATAATATGAGGGTTCAATTTTATTTTAATTATGAATAACATAGTTCGTACACAAAGACGTCCCAGCGACGATGTTTTCGGCCAGTTCCGGGTCACCCGCCTCTCGTCGTATCACTTAATACCGAAGGAAAAAAGAAAACATTACAAGTTCAGTATGGCTGCTGGGAGCAATGGGTGTGGAACTGACCCTATGATGTTCTCCGTCCCGTCACAATGTACCTGGCAAACTCAATGGTTTCATCTCACCAGGTTGTGACGGCGACTTCCCGCCTCTGGGACATTATCCTGCAGGAGAACTCTCGTCAGCTACAAGACGTAATATGGGCCGGCAGGAGATTGCATTTTATTTTATAATGTATAAATAGTTTTAAGGTGAGTGGCGCCCCTCTAAAAACAGTTAATGACCCCACGGGTCTCAGATGTTATCATCAGGAAATAAAAACATTATTTTATCAATTAAACACATCACAATGAGGTTGAACTCTGTCTTAAATACTACTTTTTGCAATGCCACTTCAGGGCACTTAATAGTGTAATGGCTAGTATCTTACTTTACAATACTATATTGTCACATTCAGTACCGGGTTTTCATCATTATCTTTTGTTGTATATCAAATATTATAATTTTAGATTTATATAAATATAAATTATGGCCTTGAATAATATAATTTTAAAACAATTAAATTAACATCTGGGTTAATTTCAATTTCATTAAATAATAATAATTAATTATTTTAATAACAAAACAGCACTAGAACATTGTAAATTTAATTCATCAGTTTGAGGTTGTTTTCCTTTTGTTTAATTATTGTAGTAATATTTTATTTTTCTCATTCATTATTATTTTGTATCAAGAGAAATAGTAGTAATTTATTCTTTCATTTATTAATTTGTTAGCATGTTTATTTCATTTATTATTTTCAATGTACACATAGATTTTCTGCTATTCCGTTTTTTTATACATATTTATCCTCAATGGATTTCTTTTTAATATTTGTAAAGGTTTAAAATTAATTAATTAATAAATCAATAACCAGTGCCTATAGATTTGATAGAGCAGATTTGGTGGTTCATTTTTGAACGCCCGCTGCCTTCACAGATGAAGAGAGAAGAAAAGGTTTGGAGGTATGATTTATCGTAGGAGTCAGAAAGGAAATGAGTTTGTAAGTCACAGGAAATAATAATTTTGGAATAAACGGGAACAAAGTTGAAGAGGGATGATTCAAAAGATGGATAAAAGGGAACTTGATGAGGGCGATATATTACGCATATATTAAGTATTTATATAAAAATATTAAGATGACCAATTCCCTATAATAAAACATCAAAGGCAATAGAAGATTTTATAGAGTATAAAACTTAAAATGTCTAACTATATTCATTTATTTGAGGTGAAGTGGAGGGAGAATTTTTTTAATTGAGGTTGACTTTGGAATGATTAATTTATTTTTCAGGCGAATCAAACCACTTATAATTTCAAGACTAAGCGTGGTCAATTTGAAAGTGACGGGAACAGGTTACGTTCGTGTGCCACCAAGTATATCCCCGACGTATTAACAACTTTAAATTACATTTCATGCTTAGAAAAACTAGAAAAACATCAGCAGGGATACGCTCCATTCGAATTTGGTATACCACCTAAATATCCCATTGATAAGGTAAGTGAAAAGAAAAATATGCCTATAAAAATAATAAGAAACAAACTTAAGAGTGATTTCTTAATTATTCACATTTAAGAAATTCTAGCACAATGCAAGTAAATTTATTAACGATTCAAAATACTTCTTCATTAAGTATCCTTTAGAATCTTTGAGGTTTGAAGGAATAAGTATCTTGTAAATAATCAAATAAGAAAAATACATGGTATTAAATAATAATATATCTTTCATTTGAATAATTCAATAAGTATTATATATCTGACTTTATTACTTTTAACCAAATATTCATTATCTCTTAAAATAATAAAATATTTATTTTTGTAGTATTGTTTGAAATTTATTTTATACATTTTGTAGTGCAAAAATAAACTCCCAGCTGGTCTCTACCCAAAAATAATCAATTGTTATAGATCAGATGAAGGATGGGAATTATACGAGGAAAATAAAGAGAAATCCAAACCATTGCTTCCGAAAGCTGGTACCATTCCTTTTCCTTATGTCTCCTTCAATGATGTAAGTATAGATAAAATATTTTAAAATTAAAAACCCCTAGCTCAAGTCTAAGTCTCAATTAATTTTCTTAATAGAGTAAATACTCATCTTCCTCCTCTTTGACTACAGCTGTGTGGTATATGATGGTCTCTCGGTGGAGTTTTGTGATAGACTGAAAAGACTAAAGAATAGCTGTGTTAGATTTGTAATGGGTACCCCAAGATACTCCCATTTCCCTCACCACTACTAGTGAGATTCATTATCAGTTATGGTGGCTCTTTCGTTCCTTTAGAAGGCAATATTTCTTAGTCGCGTCCCTTTATCGTATCATCAACAATCATTGTCGTTCTTACGCCTACAACCTTCTCCAATTCAAGTCTCAATCCATTCCCTTTCCACAAGATCTTGACCTTCCAATCTTTACATCCCTTCTTACAGATCTGCCTCATTTCAAAACTCCTTTATTGCTCATGCTTTCTATTTCTGGAATTCCCTTTCTATCAAAATTTGGCATTCCATCACCATATCCACATTCAAAACCCTCTTATTCCAATTCCTGTCCAAAAACAATCAGATACTTGCTAAGCTTTTGATATTACACATTTATATTAAATCATTTATCATCAAATGATGGTACTATTCCATTCTGTAAACTTTACTGGGGATATTGCAATATCTTCCTACTCTTAATTCCACTAAATGCATCTATTGTTAGTTTTTTTATTCTTATAAAACTAAATTTGTCACATTTGCTAGTTACAATAAGATAATGTGGTGCTAACATATTATTCAATATTTAAATATTCTGACATTTTATATTGTCAGATTAAACTTCCCTTTGTTAGTAGAAACACAGAGCTTATTTTAAAATAGAAATTAATATACTTTTTATTATTTTTCTTAAAAGTGTATAATTATATTTTTTTACTACTGTACATAGTTTTAAGTGTCTTATCATAGTTCTAAGTGTTTTGTATTTAGGTTTATTTGTTTTATATATAGCTTGTTTAATTAATATTTTCATTAATTTTTCTTTTTTGTTATAGTTTTATTTAGGACCGATGTAGTATTGTAATTTTGTGCTATTTAGTTATTCTGAAGGGACTTGGTCCCAGAATAAAGTTATTTCCTACTTCTATTTTCTAATAATAAAAAGATATTTTTAAAAAAAACCTTATTAGAATAGAACTTTAGATAAGCTGAAATGCTACTAATAATTAACCTCTCTTGAAATTAGTTCAATTAATCTAGATATTTCTTCAACCTAATATTTTAGGTTAATGATTAAATAATTAAATATTAATGATGATTAATATTAAGTATACATATTTATAATTTTAATTTCTTCTGCTTTAGAAACTAGATTATGATCTGGCTCTTGATAAATAGAAGATAATAATAGACACTTAATAAGTGTCATTAAATATAAAAACATATTTTTTTTAAAAAAAGGTTATCATATCTTAGGTATAAATACTTCTAGTTTTAATTTCTTCTGTTTTAGGAACATGATGACGTTCTGGCTCAAGATGCAGTTGACAACTTCAAGAGTACACTTTGCAAAGTTACTGGTGTTGTTGACAAAGCTTGTTCTTTGTAAAACTATTATATACTCAATCTTGTTAGATACATAAAACATATGATCAATAAATAAGGTAATACTGTATTTGATGCAATGTATCACAAGCAATTTAAAGACAATATTTGAAGTAATACAGATATTTATTTAAAATAAAGTTAGAATTTGATTGAAAAAGTAAATATCAGACAGAAAAATATATCATAAATGAGAGAATAATTATCTTTTTTTCACTTTATTCCTAGTTATTCACAAAAATATCATCCTTTAGCCATCCTACACTGACAGGCAAAAAATTCCACCCCCTTAATTTTTTCATGTCTTCATCTAAAAATATTTCTTCTTTGGATTGGTCTATTGGTTTTGATAAATAAATAGGTAATCTTTTTGTTTGTTTTCAATTAGGAATGTTAATATAGAGAACAATAACCCTTTATCCTTAATTCAATGAAATGATTCTAGATTCCAATGTTTACTTTCTATGGAATCAAAATGTTTATTCAGTATCATTAATTAGTTCAATGCCGTTTCAGCACCGTTTGCAGCACATTTCTTAGTCTCCGGCTTTTAATTTTTTCAATATTAAGTTTAAAAAATAAATATCAGACAGAAAAATATATCATAAATGAGAGAATAATTATCTTTTTTTTCACTTTATTCCTAGTTATTCACAAAAATATCATCCTTTAGCCATAATATTTTATAATTTATATTATAAACACACTTTTATAATGGTGGAAAATAGCGCAACATTGCAAGAAGGCAAATAATAATTTGGTATTATATATTTTTTAAATATTTGAACGCAATCAAAATTATTTAAATTCTATAATGAAACTTGCTTGTACTTTGAAAAATTGCCATTTGTTTCACTTCGGGTTCCTAGTAATTAAAATTATTACGTAGAAATAAATAGTATTATTTCTTTATTAAACATTGAAATCTCAAAAAAAGAAAATATTGTGTATACTGATCATTTATTTTATAGATAATAAATTATGTATGATTATGAATACCAGCATTTTAATTTATAAAAAAAGTAAGTAATTTGTTTTTACAATTAAAATTCATAAAATAAAACCTAATATCCAATCGTTAGTTTGTTGATGCATTTAGAATCAAAATCAAATACATTTGAAGGGTTCATTACAATGCCAATTTGGTCTAAAATTTTTGTTTTCAAAATATTGCTGTTATTTTTTAAAGATCAATGCTTGATGTTTCTGTAGTAGTAATCTTAAGGATAAAAGCAACAGCTGAAAATTATTGTTTAAACTGTATTATTTAATGACTAATAGTTCTTATCAAATATTTGACTCCTTCTAGAAAGATTTTAGTTTCTCTGTACGTTGAAATTTCAAATTTTAATTTATTTTCATATTATTCCTTTCTCCTCCCACTTAAAGTACTGTACCCAAAAACAATCAATATTACAATTTAGATGAAAGGGGAATTATTTAAGAAAATTGAGAAAACCAATTTTTTTTTTTTGTTTTTGCTCATGCGTTTGTTCCTTAGGTCTCCTTCAATGATGTAAATTTGAAAATTATTTTTAAAAATAGCCAACTCTTTACTTATCTTCATTGCTATTAAAATCTTAGTGCATCCAATGTGAATTTCCATTCATTATCTCTTCTTTCTTTTTTAATTTTAACTTCCTCAAAAATAAAGATTTTTAATTAATTTGTCATGAAAATTGACTTTAACATTATATGAAAGTTCTTAAATCTATTACTTTCATGTGAAAAATAAGCAAATTACAAAGTATCTTGTGCAGTTGACAAAGATTGTACTTCCTAAAACTAAGAAACTCCATATTCATTGCAACCATAAAGATATTTTCTATACTTTTAAATTTTCTGAAAAATTTTGTATTGGAATGTTTAAACTATTATCGTTGTAAAGAAATTCTCGTAAATAGGACTGAGATCTATTCACCGCCTAGTTTAACTTTCAGTCGACAATTATTTATTTATTAAAATCCTTTCCTCTCCCGTTACCTTTGAGCCAAATGAATGTTTGAAGAATAGAAATATTACAAATAGATGTATAGCATCATACTCTTGCAATAATATGATTTACAGTAAACTGTTCACACAGCATAAATATTCAAATGTACTGTCTTCTTCAACCACTCCTTGTTCCAGTAGCCTTCCAGGAGCAGGTCCTTTAAGTAGGGGGCGGGAAGGGGGGTTGAAGACGGTAGTACAGGTAGTAGTATCCTTCTGAGATTAGTTGGAAGAAATCATTCTCTGCGAGAACATAGAGACCGGTTTTCCTCTGCATTTTGACCCTTAGTGGCCCAAAGGCGACACAATTCATGATAATATCTCTCACCAGTTTTGGAGGTCCCATAGCGATAATTATTTTTGGGTAGGAAGCTGTTAGCAGTTTATTTTGCTGATAGAAAACATTTTAAATGAATTAACATGAATTACATTATTACAAAATTAATAATTTTGTCACAGATATGTTTTCATTGTAAGATGTAATGAAAAGTAATACTATCAATAACAGAGAGGTATCTGTCACGGTTTGAAGCAATCAACTTGAAATATAAAAAAATTCAGTTTTTATTTGTTCTTAATTTATCTTCAAAGTAAGACAATATGAAAAATGAGATATGCTTTACTTTATTTTTTTATGGTTTTTTTTAGATATATAATGTTCTGTCTCGTGGACAATAATTATAGTGATAAATAAACACATTCACACCATATATACAGAAAATACAAAATTAACAAAAGCATAACAATAACTAAATAAAAATAAAAAGAACTATGTACAATAAAAAAAATAAACTAAAGATAAGTAAATTAAAAACATAAAAACACAGTCTTGGTATATTTACAGAGATATACTAAAAATATGAGTTTAGAGAAATTGATTCATTATTTGTTCCAACAAAAAATTAGGTTTGTATTTTAGACTACACCTCAGCATTGAAAATAAAAAAGACCAGATTAATAATATGAAATATAAATTATAAATAATAGCCCATTACAGAGAGGATGAAATGCTCAGGATGAACAATTTCCTCTCCTACAATATACAGATCCAATTTTTAGTTTTTGAGATATTTAAACCACATGCATAAATACTTCAATTGGTCAATTCCAGCCAACTTTACTTGACCGTTACATATCAGGAATCTGACGGCTCAATCTAATCCAAACATCACAAAAAAGTGCAAAACACGCCTAGAGAAGTTTTCCCTTCAAAAATTTTAATGCTGGTATTGCCTCTAGTCCCCTTCACTGGTTAAAGCGCAAGACCCGCAATACACAAAAGCTCCTCCTGCTGCATCCTAGCCCCTTAAAGCCGATAATGTCAATCAGAAAGGAACTTAGTGATTGGTTATTTGTTAACATTACATTAGTTGGCTTGTTATAGTCAAATAAACTCGTGTTAAAGGAATAATTTAAAATACATTGCTTAATAAATTAGAATGCATAGTTTTTTTTTTTATAAGAGGTAGTTGTAATACTGTAAAAGATTGAGAACTCATTTCAATGTTTAAACATTGAAATGAGTTCTCAATCTTTTACAGTATTACAACTACCTCTTATAAAAAAAAAAACTATGCATTCTAATTTATTAAGCAATGTATTTTAAATTATTCCTTTAACATGAGTTTATTTGACTATAACAAGCCAACTAATGTAATGTTAACAAATAACCAATCACTAAGTTCCTTTCTGATTGACATTATCGGCTTTAAGGGGCTAGGATGCAGCAGGAGGAGCTTTTGTGTATTGCGGGTCTTGCGCTTTAACCAGTGAAGGGGACTAGAGGCAATACCAGCATTAAAATTTTTGAAGGGAAAACTTCTCTAGGCGTGTTTTGCACTTTTTTGTGATGTTTGGATTAGATTGAGCCGTCAGATTCCTGATATGTAACGGTCAAGTAAAGTTGGCTGGAATTGACCAATTGAAGTATTTATGCATGTGGTTTAAATATCTCAAAAACTAAAAATTGGATCTGTATATTGTAGGAGAGGAAATTGTTCATCCTGAGCATTTCATCCTCTCTGTAATGGGCTATTATTTATAATTTATATTTCATATTATTAATCTGGTCTTTTTTATTTTCAATGCTGAGGTGTAGTCTAAAATACAAACCTAATTTTTTGTTGGAACAAATAATGAATCAATTTCTCTAAACTCATATTTTTAGTATATCTCTGTAAATATACCAAGACTGTGTTTTTATGTTTTTAATTTACTTATCTTTAGTTTATTTTTTTTATTGTACATAGTTCTTTTTATTTTTATTTAGTTATTGTTATGCTTTTGTTAATTTTGTATTTTCTGTATATATGGTGTGAATGTGTTTATTTATCACTATAATTATTGTCCACGAGACAGAACATTATATATCTAAAAAAAACCATAAAAAAATAAAGTAAAGCATATCTCATTTTTCATATTGTCTTACTTTGAAGATAAATTAAGAACAAATAAAAACTGAATTTTTTTATATTTCAAGTTGATTGCTTCAAACCGTGACAGATACCTCTCTGTTATTGATAGTATTACTTTTCATTACATCTTACAATGAAAACATATCTGTGACAAAATTATTAATTTTGTAATAATGTAATTCATGTTAATTCATTTAAAATGTTTTCTATCAGCAAAATAAACTGCTAACAGCTTCCTACCCAAAAATAATTATCGCTATGGGACCTCCAAAACTGGTGAGAGATATTATCATGAATTGTGTCGCCTTTGGGCCACTAAGGGTCAAAATGCAGAGGAAAACCGGTCTCTATGTTCTCGCAGAGAATGATTTCTTCCAACTAATCTCAGAAGGATACTACTACCTGTACTACCGTCTTCAACCCCCCTTCCCGCCCCCTACTTAAAGGACCTGCTCCTGGAAGGCTACTGGAACAAGGAGTGGTTGAAGAAGACAGTACATTTGAATATTTATGCTGTGTGAACAGTTTACTGTAAATCATATTATTGCAAGAGTATGATGCTATACATCTATTTGTAATATTTCTATTCTTCAAACATTCATTTGGCTCAAAGGTAACGGGAGAGGAAAGGATTTTAATAAATAAATAATTGTCGACTGAAAGTTAAACTAGGCGGTGAATAGATCTCAGTCCTATTTACGAGAATTTCTTTACAACGATAATAGTTTAAACATTCCAATACAAAATTTTTCAGAAAATTTAAAAGTATAGAAAATATCTTTATGGTTGCAATGAATATGGAGTTTCTTAGTTTTAGGAAGTACAATCTTTGTCAACTGCACAAGATACTTTGTAATTTGCTTATTTTTCACATGAAAGTAATAGATTTAAGAACTTTCATATAATGTTAAAGTCAATTTTCATGACAAATTAATTAAAAATCTTTATTTTTTAGGAAGTTAAAATTAAAAAAGAAAGAAGAGATAATGAATGGAAATTCACATTGGATGCACTAAGATTTTAATAGCAATGAAGATAAGTAAAGAGTTGGCTATTTTTAAAAATAATTTTCAAATTTACATCATTGAAGGAGACCTAAGGAACAAACGCATGAGCAAAAACAAAAAAAAAAAATTGGTTTTCTCAATTTTCTTAAATAATTCCCCTTTCATCTAAATTGTAATATTGATTGTTTTTGGGTACAGTACTTTAAGTGGGAGGAGAAAGGAATAATATGAAAATAAATTAAAATTTGAAATTTCAACGTACAGAGAAACTAAAATCTTTCTAGAAGGAGTCAAATATTTGATAAGAACTATTAGTCATTAAATAATACAGTTTAAACAATAATTTTCAGCTGTTGCTTTTATCCTTAAGATTACTACTACAGAAACATCAAGCATTGATCTTTAAAAAATAACAGCAATATTTTGAAAACAAAAATTTTAGACCAAATTGGCATTGTAATGAACCCTTCAAATGTATTTGATTTTGATTCTAAATGCATCAACAAACTAACGATTGGATATTAGGTTTTATTTTATGAATTTTAATTGTAAAAACAAATTACTTACTTTTTTTATAAATTAAAATGCTGGTATTCATAATCATACATAATTTATTATCTATAAAATAAATGATCAGTATACACAATATTTTCTTTTTTTGAGATTTCAATGTTTAATAAAGAAATAATACTATTTATTTCTACGTAATAATTTTAATTACTAGGAACCCGAAGTGAAACAAATGGCAATTTTTCAAAGTACAAGCAAGTTTCATTATAGAATTTAAATAATTTTGATTGCGTTCAAATATTTAAAAAATATATAATACCAAATTATTATTTGCCTTCTTGCAATGTTGCGCTATTTTCCACCATTATAAAAGTGTGTTTATAATATAAATTATAAAATATTATGGCTAAAGGATGATATTTTTGTGAATAACTAGGAATAAAGTGAAAAAAAAGATAATTATTCTCTCATTTATGATATATTTTTCTGTCTGATATTTATTTTTTAAACTTAATATTGAAAAAATTAAAAGCCGGAGACTAAGAAATGTGCTGCAAACGGTGCTGAAACGGCATTGAACTAATTAATGATACTGAATAAACATTTTGATTCCATAGAAAGTAAACATTGGAATCTAGAATCATTTCATTGAATTAAGGATAAAGGGTTATTGTTCTCTATATTAACATTCCTAATTGAAAACAAACAAAAAGATTACCTATTTATTCATCAAAACCAATAGACCAATCCAAAGCAGAAATATTTTTAGATGAAGACATGAAAAAATTAAGGGGGTGGAATTTTTTGCCTGTCAGTGTAGGATGGCTAAAGGATGATATTTTTGTGAATAACTAGGAATAAAGTGAAAAAAAGATAATTATTCTCTCATTTATGATATATTTTTCTGTCTGATATTTACTTTTTCAATCAAATTCTAACTTTATTTTAAATAAATATCTGTATTACCTCAAATATTGTCTTTAAATTGCTTGTGATACATTGCATCAAATACAGCATTACCTTATTTATTGATCATAAGTTTTATGTATCTAACAAGATTGAGTATATAATAGTTTTACAAAGAACAAGCTTTGTCAACAACACCAGTAACTTTGCAAAGTGTACTCTTGAAGTTGTCAACTGCATCTTGAGCCAGAACGTCATCATGTTCCTAAAACAGAAGAAATTAAAACTAGAAGTATTTATACCTAAGATATGATAACCTTTTTTTAAAAAAAATATGTTTTTATATTTAATGACACTTATTAAGTGTCTATTATTATCTTCTATATATCAAGAGCCAGATCATAATCTAGTTTCTAAAGCAGAAGAAATTTAAATTATAAATATGTATACTTAATGTTAATCATCATTAATATTTAATTATTTAATCATTAACCTAAAATATTAGGTTGAAGAAATATCTAGATTAATTGAACTAATTTCAAGAGAGGTTAATTATTAGTAGCATTACAGCTTATCTAAAGTTCTATTCTAATAATATTTTTTTTAAAAATATCTTTTTATTATTAGAAAATAGAAGTAGGAAATAACTTTATTCTGGGACCAAGTCCCTTCAGAATAACTAAATAGTACAAAATTACAATACTACATCTGTCCTAAATAAAACTATAACAAAAAAGAAAAAGTAATGAAAATATTAATTAAACAAGCTATATATAAAACAAATAAACCTAAATACAAAACACTTAGAACTATGATAAGACACTTAAAACTATGTACAGTAGTAAAAAAATATAATTATACACTTTTAAGAAAAATAATAAAAAGTATATTAATTTCTACTTTAAAATAAGCTCTGTGTTTCTACTAACAAAGGGAAGTCTAATCTGACAATATAAAATGTCAGAATATTTAAATATTGAATAATATGTTAGCACCTCATTATCTTATTGTAACTAGCAAATGTGACAAATTTAGTTTTATAAGAATAAAAAAACTAACAATAGATGCATTTAGTGGAATTAGGAGTAGGAAGATATTGCAATATCCCCAGTAAAGTTTACAGAATGGAATAGTGCTATCATTTGATGATAAATGATATAATATAAATGTGTAATATCAAAAGCTTAGCAACTATCTGATTGTTTTTTGGACAGGAATTGGAATAGGAGGGTTTTGAATGTGGATATGGAGGGGGAATGCCAAATTTTGATAGGAAGGGAATTCCAGAAATAGACAGCATGAGCAATAAAGGAGATTTAAAATGAGGCAGATCTGTGAGAAGGGATGTAAAGGTCGGAAGGTCAAGATCTTTTGGAAAGAGAATGGATTGAGACTTGAATTGGAGAATGTTGTAAGCGTTAGAAGGACCATGATTGTTGATGATATGATACAGGGACGTCTCTAAGAAATATTGCCTTCGAAAGGAGGGAAAGAGCCACCATAACTGATAATGAATCACACTGGTAGTGGTGAGAGATATGGGAGCATCTCGGGGCAAGCATTACAAATCTAACACAGCTATTCTTTAGTCTTTTCAGTGAACAGTGGAATCACAAAACTCCACCGAGAGACCATCATATACCACACAGCTGTAGTCAAAGAGGGGGAAGATGAGTATTTACTCTATTAAGAAAATTAATTGAGACTTAGACTTGAGCTAGGGGTTTTTAATTTTAAAATATTTTATCTATACTTACATCGTTGAAGGAGACATAAGGAAAAGGAATGGTACCAGCTTTCGGAAGCAATGGTTTGGATTTCTCTTTATTTTCCTCGTATAATTCCCATCCTTCATCTGATCTATAACAATTGATTATTTTTGGGTAGAGACCAGCTGGGAGTTTATTTTTGCACTACAAAATGTATAAAATAAATTTTAAACAATACTACAAAAATAAATATTTTAAGAGATAATGAATATTTGGCTAAAAGTAATAAAGTTAGATATATAATACTTATTAAGTTATTCAAATGAAAGATATATTTTTGTTGAATACCATGTATTTTTCTTATTTGATTATTTACAAGATACTTATTCCTTCAAACCTCAAAGATTGTAAAGGATACTTAATGAAGAAGTATTTTGAATCATTGATAAATTTACTTGCATTGCGCTAGAATTTCTTAAATGTGAATAATTAAGAAATCACTCTTATGTTTGTTTCTTATTATTTTTACAAGCATATTTTTCTTTTCACTTACCTTATCAATGGGATATTTAGGTGGTATACCAAATTCGAATGGAGCGTATCCCTGCTGATGTTTTTCTAGTTTTTCTAAGCATGAAATGTAATTTAAAGTTGTTAATACGTCGGGGATATACTTGGTGGCACACGAATGTAACCTGTTCCCATCACTTTCAAATTGACCACGCTTAGTCTTGAAATTATAAGTGGTTTGATTTGCCTGAAAAATAAATTAATCATTCCAAAGTCAACCTCAATTAAAAAATTTCTCCCTCCACTTCACCTCAAATAAATGAATATAGTTAGACATTTCAAGTTTTATACTCTATAAAATCTTCTATTGCCTTTGATGTTTTATTATGGGGAATTGGTCATCTTAATATTTTTATATAAATACTTAATATATCGCCCTCATCAAGTTCCCTTTTATCTATCTTTTGAACCATCCCTCTTCAACTTTGTTCCCGTTTATTCCAAAATTATTATTTCCTGTGACTTACAAACTCATTTCCTTTCTGACTCCTACGATAAATCATACCTCCAAACCTTTTCTTCTCTCTTCATCTGTGAAGGCAGCGGGCGTTCAAAAATGAACCACCAAATCTGCTCTATCAAATCTATAGGCACTGGTTATTGATTTATTAATTAATTAATTTTAAACCTTTACAAATATTAAAAAGAAATCCATTGAGGATAAATATGTATAAAAAAACGGAATAGCAGAAAATCTATGTGTACATTGAAAATAATAAATGAAATAAACATGCTAACAAATTAATAAATGAAAGAATAAATTACTACTATTTCTCTTGATACAAAATAATAATGAATGAGAAAAATAAAATATTACTACAATCATTAAACAAAAGGAAAACAACCTCAAACTGATGAATTAAATTTACAATGTTCTAGTGCTGTTTTGTTATTAAAATAATTAATTATTATTATTTAATGAAATTGAAATTAACCCAGATGTTAATTTAATTGTTTTAAAATTATATTATTCAAGGCCATAATTTATATTTATATAAATCTAAAATTATAATATTTGATATACAACAAAAGATAATGATGAAAACCCGGTACTGAATGTGACAATATAGTATTGTAAAGTAAGATACTAGCCATTACACTATTAAGTGCCCTGAAGTGGCATTGCAAAAAGTAGTATTTAAGACAGAGTTCAACCTCATTGTGATGTGTTTAATTGATAAAATAATGTTTTTATTTCCTGATGATAACATCTGAGACCCGTGGGGTCATTAACTGTTTTTAGAGGGGCGCCACTCACCTTAAAACTATTTATACATTATAAAATAAAATGCAATCTCCTGCCGGCCCATATTACGTCTTGTAGCTGACGAGAGTTCTCCTGCAGGATAATGTCCCAGAGGCGGGAAGTCGCCGTCACAACCTGGTGAGATGAAACCATTGGGTTTGCCAAGTACATTGTGGCGGGACGTAGAACATCATAGGGTCAGTCCCACACCCATTGCTGCTAGCAGCCATACTGAACTTGTAATGTTTTCTTTTTGCCTTCGGTATTAAGTGATACGACGAGAGGCGGGTGACCCGGAACTGGCCGAAAACATCGTTTTTGTGTACGAACTATGTTATTTATAATTAAAATAAAATTGAACCCTCATATTATGATATGGTAAAAATAAACAATAAAAATATTCATGTTGGCGTCAACATCATCTTTTCATCATTTCTTTTCCTCCCACTCACCATACCTCAAGATCTACTTGGCTGGACATGTACATTATTGACTCCGCTCAGAACCCCCTTTCCTCTTCCCAATCACCAGTCCCCTTTTTATCCTCTCTTGACCTAATCCAAATTTCACATAATACCCAAACTCCTCTGATCCTACCTAGAACCATAACTTTACATAACCTTGATACCCTTACTTGGGAAAAAAATCCTACCCAGCCTAGAATCCCTGGATTGGGATGGAATATATTCCGGTTCCTCTATTGATTCAATGGTTGACAACATCTCCAATTTTCTTAATATCCTTGATACCCATGCTCCCTTCAAAACCTCTACCTTTCATAGACGTCCAGTTCCCTGGATGTGTCAGCAAATCAAGGATCTTCAGAAGAGACTTGAGGTTGCCCGCAGACGCTTTAAACGTACCAGGCTTGCTGACGACTACCAAGCGTTTAGGATTCTTTGTAACCTGATACAAACCATAATCCGACGAGCTAAATCCACCTGTTTTCATGAAGCACTCCTTTCAGCTCCTGATTGAAGTAATAGTCTTTTAGTAACTCCAATATGCTTATGAAGTTTATTTGAATCTTTTGAAGAAAAAACACATAAATAGTTCGAGGCTGATACCAATTCAGCTCTATAAAGAATATAGGCTATTTTAGACACTACTTTACTTCAATCAGTGTTCACCTAAACAAAAAACTGTTCTCTGTTTTAGTCTGTAACTTTTACGTACACCAGGGTGCGACCTAATTTTCGATTCTTTGGGTGCAATAAAGAAATGTTACATAAGCAAACATATGAAACTTAATCGCCCATCTTCACCCGTTAAAAGAAGCGATAATAATTGTGTTTCAGGTGGAAAACTCTTCTTTTCGGAAAAACGAATTTACCGAGACATTGAGAGAAGTGAACTATGTTTTCAACAACTAGTTTAAGCAGAAAATATTTACTTGATTCAGAATAAATATTAAAAAAAATTATCTTAGAACTATTAAGCAATGTTTCGAGAGGAAATTGGGCACTCCAAGACTTCGATTTTTTTAATGATTAATAAGATGTAGATTTTTAGCAATAAGGGACTGAAAAGATCACAGATTAAGCCTAAACTCAGATTAGTTGATAATATTGATATAAATTATCAGTGATAGTCATCTCTTTGTTTTTAATGTATGGTGGACATAGAACTTCAAACATTTGTGGATTTGACAATAAAACGTTTATTCATACGCTCCGATATAATGAAAAATTAATAATTTCAACTTGTTATTTATTACAAACAAGAAAAATTATATTATGATCTGAAAAACAAATTATGCATTCGTTTCTACAGGTCACTATAGGAAAACAGTAGAGCCGTTGAAAGTGAGTGTTCTCAATCTGTTTGTAATACCGAAAACCACTATATGAATGCAATACCAGACTATGAAAAAGAAATTGATGATCTTGGTCTAAGTGATATTTTATTAAAGACATTATCTTTGGATTTTATAACTTTAATGAAATATAAAAAACATACCAAGAAGTTTTAGGCAAGAAATGGTTTACAATGTGTTTCATTTTCTCAAGCCTGTAAGTTTTTAACAAATTAATTCTATTATATTAAAAACAAAAATACACAATATCAAGGCTTGATTTTTTTTTTTTTAAAGTTAGACTTTAATTGTTTCTTTATTGTAGTATTGTATAATTATTGTAACTATTCACGTTAAAAATTAAATTTTTTAGTTGCTGTAAGAACTCTGGAAGAAAAGTAAAGAAATCACTATATGTCGAAATTTGCATCTTTGTTCTTTTCAGATGTTAGAAACATTGAGGCGCCAAGTGTCAAAATACGTTATATATCTAATTACTATTTCCATATCTTTGAAAAATATTGATACAATATATATCGATATTTACACCCTTATTCTGACCTACAGAAGCTACCTCTCTTTTTCAAGAAGGCCTATACAATTATCAGATTAGCATAGAGGGAAAATTTATTACTATTAATAAATTAAAAAATAAGTAATAATAAATGTAATAATAATAAGTTGATGATATTAGTAAAATTTTATTACATAAATGCAAAATACCATATTATGTTTTTTTTTACTATTTCAAATAAATATAAAACATAATATAAAATAATAGAACAATTTAAAAAAAAAATAGAGATGGTATATAGTTGACTGTTGAAATTGTATGGATGTAAAATGGTCAGGATGTGTAGAAAAAAATTTAAGTTTATTGAATTTGGCAAATTTATTTTTTATAAAATTAAATTTAAAAAAGTGTTTAATCCAAAATTTAAAAAAAAAAACGTTTTCTTTCTAAAAAAACTTAAAAATATTCTTATGTCATTTTCATTTGTAATACTTCTTTGTAATTTCTTCACAATTTTTTTTTTGTTTTAATTGCTGAAATAAAATCGAACCATGTGAAAAATTTATTCTTATAAATATATATTTTCGAGAAAAAAAATCCTTCACTAGTTCTTCAATTTCTACACTTTCTTCCCTAAGAAATAAATTAGACATTTTTTTAGAACTTTGGTTTTTTTTTTTATTATATTTAATTTTATATTATGCTACTAAACGTCTAAATCAGTTTATTTACGAAAATTTAACGGATTCTTCTCTATTAACAAACAAATAATAATAAACCCTATCACCTCAATCAATAAATTATATTTATAGGACGTATGTGTATATTTATATTTATGGGAGGTGTGTGTATATGTTTGTATAGGTGTGAGTGTGTGTATGTATATATGCAGGTTCACGAGGACCTATATTTCTTTCCCCGAAACAGACCGTCAAAGCACCGAACCTCAGGGGGGCTATTAACATCCTGGTAAACCACATCCCGATTTTAAGTACACGGGGTAGGGTCATCAGTCCTACGCCCGATCGGTGTGAGTTGCCTCCAGTAGACTGACGGGCCTCGCATACCCGGGAGGAAGAGAGACTCGAGCAGCATGGCTTTCCCTGGAGGGCGGTCACCCATCCAAGTACTAACCACGCTCGGCGTTGCTTAACTTTGATTATCTTCTGCAAGCGCCTTAGCCCGTACGGCTACCCCCCCCCCCTGTATGTATATATATATGGATATATGTGTTCGTATGTATATATGTATATATATATATATATATATATATATATATATGTGTGTGTGTGTGTGTGTGTGTGTATATATATGTATAGTTATATATATATATATATATATATATATATATATATATATATATATATATATATAGTTTTCTTATGCATATAAAAATTAGATTTTGTTTTTCTTGTAATTTTAAGGATTATAATCTAGTTTTTCATTTATATCTTACGTATGAGAAGGAGTTAGTCGGGGGTGCGGTCAGATAAATACTAAATTAAAATATAGTAATTATTTTATTTTAATTTTGCCGACGTTTCGACCCACTTTGCAGGTCGTCTTCAGGGCTACAAAAGATACAAAACATGTTGAGAATAAAAATTATTATTATCAAGCAGCCTACTATTC